TTCAGCACACAAGCAGTTCCACTGACTTCAGAGGAGCTGTTCATGAGCGTGTGGCTAGATCACATCTTATGGGAGGAGGGAATCCATCCTGGAGCCTGATGTCAAACTGAGCACACAGCTAGTCTGAGCAAAAATGGTCTTCAGTGGGGCTACTCACAGACTTGTGCTCCAATGATCTGCCGACCCAGGCTCTTGGCATCTCCTGCCCTTCCCTTGCTGCCCACATGCTGCAAGGGGCTTCCTGACCTCTGCCCCACTCTTGCCTTTGCCCTCTCAATACCTCTGCTCATTCTCTGCCCTCACTCCCTTGCCTAAATTTGGAAAGTGCTCCCTGATCTCTATTAAAAAACAGCAGCAAGATATTGCAAGCATTCAGCGTGCTTCAGTCCAAGACACTCTCAAACCCAAAAACCTGGGGTATTTTTCCAACACCAGCAGTATCCTGCTTCTTCCTTACATATGCTTAAATGCTGCAAGGCACAGCAACGTGCACACAGCTTGCGAAGGGAAGGCAGAGTGCGCCTCACCACAGTTGCCAAGCATTTATTTTTACACGTGATGAGAAAAGGCAGTGCTGGGTACCAAAGTACAGGAGCTAATTAAACTGTTCACAGCTGAGCTGCGTCCAAGCAAGGCAGCAAGAATGGACCTACAGTCTTGTGACTTGTCATGCACTCTCATGGTTGAAGAAAACATATTACCAATACTGTGGGCCACAATGTGGAGTCAGGGACGAGGCGAGGACAGATGGGTTACCAAACCAGCATCTTGGTTCACCAAAACCAGAACACAGTTCACTTCCTCATTATTACTGTCATTCACAGAGAAGCCAGTTATAGTTTATATAACCATGAGATGTTAAATTGAGTTTTGTTTTCACGAACGGAGATCAGTGTAAAAGTCACACTTCCACCTGGAAAAATAGTTACCTGCTATTCTTACAGTGATGCCTCAGATCATAGTTACAAAAACATTATGGAGGAAATATGGATTTTTTTCTCCAATAAAATGAGGAGCCCTGGATTATCATACCTCCTTCCTGAGAGGTGTGAAGAAGACGACCGAGGTTTTGACAAACAGAGAAATTAAATTAAAAAGCCACAAAAAATGGCCGGGGGGAGCTTGGAAGTGAAACAAATTTAACTTGCTTTGGCTCAATTTCACACCCTTTTAAAACTGTGGCTTGCAAAAGTTCTGGCTGCAGAGATGAAGCAGAAGAGTTAACGCTACACCCTGAAAAGAAGGGATGTCAGAGCAGGAGAGGCTGTACAAACGGGTGAAGGACCTCCAACCAAATGAACGTTAAAGCCCTGTCAGAAAAAAAAAAACACAGCCAAGACTACACAGTGACAAGTTAGAAACAGCCTGACTGCTCAGTGGAAAAATCTATGGGAATTATCCCTGCTATAATGTCGGGTAATAGGGAAGTGCAGTAGCTGGACCTTGGCTTGCTACCAAGGACAGTTTAAGAGCTATTTCTGAGAAAGTGCTAGGAAAAAAAAATATCCATAGCTCTGGCTCCCTCCAAAATGCAGGCAGAGCCTGAGCCACAGATTTCCGCGGAACCACAGAGCTTCTGCATTCCCCGCCTCTCCCCAGGCCTCAGGAGGAGCTGGTGTCTGGGATGACCAAGGAAAGTTTCGTTACACCCTGCAGTGGAATGTTCCAGCCCCGGCTGTTGTTTCCTCCCAAAGCAGGGTCGTTAGCAAGACAATTTCTGAAGTTCACGGTATTGTCTAATGCCCTTACAAAAATATCACTGCAGAAAGGAGAAGCCAAATGAGCCAGACTATTTTAAGGCCTTTGCTTTTGGAGGAAATTCTAGGGCAAAAATCTCAAAAAGACAGATGCTTTGAAACGGGAAATGTTACACCATATGGAGAAGGTGGAGCATTCCAGCCTGTTAAGCAGCTTCAATGGCTCCTGCTTTATAGGATTGGGTTTATTTTAAAATTCAGACGTGGATTTTCAACCGTCTTGCTGTTATCTGCGTGTGTGCATGCGTGTGTGTACGCACAAGTTATAAACTATTTAAAAAAAAAAAGGCAAGTCATAAATTTCAGCAGTCTACAAAGCACTCCATAAACCCTAACGAAGCCTCCGATCACCCCAGGAAACCCAGGAGAAGCATGATCGCTCTTGTACCAACAGGAAGACTGAAGCAGGACAGTGTGGAGACTTCAGCCCAGCCAGGAAGGGGCAAGTGCTGGATCTGGGATTAGGGTGCACGTGCTGGATCCAGGATTAGAGCTCCTGAGCTGCTGAGACCTGGTCTGACATTTTCTCTCTCTCCTGCCCTGATGGTACCTTTGTGCACAGGCTGTTCCTCTATGACCCACAACTGAGATCAGCTGTGATTTCTGCGGCCATAGGTGGGAGATTGTTCTGAGACACTGTTTAGACCACCCCTGCTCTTCTCTGACATCCCCCGACACCCCATCACCTGCTTAGCAAAACCAAACCTTATCCAGGTCCCTTAAAGTGATGCTGAGCTCCCCTCTCCTGGGCAGAGGCAAAAGGAGCAGTAGAAAAGGAGAAAGGACAAAACACCTCCCGCCAATTCCCCTCTGCTCTGTGGTTTAGCAGCCCCTCCCACTGGTAACAAAAGGTCTTTAAAAGCAGAAAATAGCTTTGGTTTGGATTCTAGGAATCAGACTGAGATCACCACTTCGTTTCAAATAGGCCATCAAAAAAGCTATTAGTTGATGACAAGCTTTGGGGCACTAATGATCTGGGCTGGATTGGAACCAGAGACCACGATGAAAGGCTCCGTGTCCCACACTCACATCCAGCAGCTGACTGACCCTGGACAGAGATGGGTAACCTGGAGCCGAGGCTGACATTTCTGATACGTCTCCCCCTCTAATCAAGTCTGCGTCATTCCCATTAACATGAATGGGGAGGAGAGTGAATGTCTGTGCCCACGATTCTGCCTGCTACGAAGCACCCCTACAGAAGGAGTGAGTGGGGCTGCATTGGGCTCAGCTCGAAACTGCCTCCTGCTTTGTGCTGGCTTCAGTAAGACTTCCAACATTGCTTCAGTTTCATTTCTGAGATTCAGATGTCTCTGAGAAGGAAGAACAGGCTTTTAAAGGAAAACCCATACTGTACCCCCGCACTGGGCTCCTCTGCCATCTGTATCATGCACTGGTTATGGATGTAGCTGGGCAATTCTGACCAACGCTACCTAGGGTTCCTTCAGGCCTTACTGGGAGATGCTGGCCATGGAAAACCACAAGGCCCAACCCTGCGAGATGCCCAGTACCCTGTGTTGCTCCTGAAATGAAAGCAGCTGTACCAGCAGAACTCTTGCTGATACTCCTCGCACTATAAACAACACCTTGCTGCTTCTACATGGACCGGACAGCTGAATAAGTTCTTCTATTTATTCCCGTCTCTTATCATATAATGACTGACATGTGGCCAAAACAAGTAGTTCAGCTGTCCGGTCCATGTAGAAGCAGCAAGGTGTTGGAATATCACGGACGGCTCTGGGTCAGCTTGACCTGCATTCCTGCTGCAGTGTTGTATCCCTCCAGAGCAGACTGCCTGGTTTCTCCCCCTAGAAGAGCCCTTCAGTGTTTTGAAGAAATTCTTACCATACTTTGGACAATTAAACACTTCCCCTGTTTTGTCTGAGAGGGAAAAACGCTTGCCCTAGAAAAACTTAATGTGGCTGAGCAGCCAGAATTGCCCTGAACATGTGCTGGTCAAACAAAGGCTCCCTTCAGCCACAGAGCAGGCGGCTGGAACTGAAGATCAAACTTTTCACCCCAACAAACGGCTATTAATGAGGCCATTATTTGAAGGGTCTGTCCCCTGCCCCGACCACAGCATCATGAGCCACTCAGAAACAGCAGCGAAGGGAGGACAGGAATAGCAATTATTTCTTCTAGGTTTCCTCTCTGTCTGGGTTCTGGGCAGATGAATGCAAAATTCCTTCTGTAACTGAAATGCTATTCAGCGTTCTCTTGCTCTGTAATATGACCTGCTCCAATAGTACCCTATGACCTACTAATATCTGGGGCCTGGAATTGCTGACATTCCTGCAGGCTTTATACTCTGAGGCCTCTCCTTCCAGCTACTGCCACCGACACAGCCTCCTTCCAGCAACTCATGTGTGTGCACACATCCATTCCCGCATTGCCCACATGCAGAGAAGAGGCACAAGTCACTCAAGCCACACGACTCTGTCAAAAATAATTAACATGCACAACAACTGAATGGTCTCAGAGAAAGCACTAAAGAATGAGTTATTTCTGGGGGAGACTGCTTGCCCTTCACGTATGGAGCACTCTGGGCATCCTCAATAAAACAAAGCTTTACTCCCTTGAGCAGCAGGACAGCGATTAACGTGGGAATACTCCCGATTAGAAACAAGAACATTGGTAGCTAACAACCTGGGAAGGTGCTGGACTGATGGCCCCAGACATCAACATCCCTGGTGTACCCTCAGAGCAGATGCAGGAGGGGCAGTAGCTGTTCTAACTGGCTCATCCATGGATCACATTCAGTCTCTGTGGATGCTCTACCCTCAGCCTGCATTTCATACTGAGTTTTGGAGCATGGATATTTATCAAACAGTAAATGAAGTGAAACATACCACTCAAGAGTCACGATAGTCAACTTCAATCATGAATGACCTAGGTCATTCCAACCAGTCAAGTTAAAAGGCTCCATATATCCCTAACCTACCCAACCCCACTTTACAGCAGCCTTACTTTTACACATCTGGAATCAGCTACAGAGGACAGCTTCCAACCAGCATCCTGTTCTCTATTTCTCTCCCCACCCTCTGATCAGAAAAGACATAAGATCTGGCCCTGTAAGTGGCTGTTCAAGGGGACTTACTGTGGCATACATCACATGACTGGTGGGCCAGAGGGCGGCAACATCCCTGTGACAATCAGCTGACATTCGGCACACCTGAGCTGTCCTTGGCCCCAGCAGAGGAAAAAGAGAACCCTTGTTTTTCTGTTTGAGAAAGAGGATGTACATACCTGCCTTCCATCCTGACCCACATTGGTCTGGCCTCTCACCACAGTTCGGATGCTGTCATCCAACCTCCTACGGGGAAAAACTCTAGTGTCACAGCAGTTCTATGTGTACATGGTACAAGTGCTCTATATGAAACCCACTGACCAATACAAAACCAAGGGCATGGACAACACACAGCTCAGATTCTTAGAAACATTTCTGTCCTATGTTGTATTTTGTCACTTTGCAGGATTTAAAAACATGAATTTTTTAAAACCCAAGCCCAAATCCAGTCAATTCTTTTCAGGAGTCACTCCATTTCACTTGTGCCTGGTTCTCCAAGGACAGAACAATACCTGGCAACCCTTTATTCAAAGGGTAAAAAAAAAAAATGATAACCTGCTACACATTTAATATAAGAATAAAAGAAAACACACCCATAGCAACAACAACAAAGAAGCCTGCATAATGCATCTGTTATTACAACTTCTACACCTGAGTTTACAAGCTGTGAAGATTCAACAACTTCAGGAGTATGCTGAATATTTTCTTTTCTCTCTCAAAGCCTGATTTTCCATGCAAATATATTTCAGTCCAAGTGACGACATGGTTATTTTCTGCCTGTGAGCCAAGGAAGCAAAACGGAGCAGCGCTTACCTTATCTTCAGCCTGATTTTATTTACCACTTCATCAATGTTGGCCAAAGACTACAAGAGGAAAAAAAGACACAGTTAAAAGTGGAAAGGTGCTGTCTCTGACACATGCCGATTGTAGCAAGTAACACGTCTTCAAATAACACTTGGCCTAATTCACTCACAACACTTTACAAGTTGGCTCATAGCCACACACTTCTTTTTGTGGATGGGGAAACTGAGGCACACGGCAATGTGTTGATGTGCTGAAGGCCATATGCAGGGCTTGAAACAGATGCCAAGTCTCCAGGCCACAGTGAATCTTCAGCTCATCCCCACACGGGTCTACAGAGCTAGAATATCTTTTAGCCATTATACCCATCCTTCTGCAAAGGCAGTGCTTGCTGAAGGAAGTGGGGAGGGTGACCTCTAGTGGGTAAAGCACGCCGAAGCACGACTAGACTGTTAGGATTCAGCTTCACAGAGCTTTCAACCCTGGCAGTTCTCCAGGATGAAAAACCAGAGAGTTACAGACACAGGGGCAGGGAGGAGGCGTGACTGTGACTGGGGCAGCAGCAGGGAGAAAGTACTCAGACCTTTGCTGAGACAGGAACAGAGAAAATGGAGCAGAGGAAGCCCCAAACAAACAGGAGCAGCTAAAAGGCTAAATCCTGCTGCATCCTACCGTCAAAGGCAGCAGAACCTGTGCACTTCTGACAAAACCTTGGAACCCGCTCACAGGGTCGGTGGGCTGCTGACACAGCCGCCAGCTTGGGGCTTAGGGCTAAGGAAGGCTCTTGCATCACTCCCACCCCAATCCTTATCCCTGTAAGGAATGTTAATATCTGGTCGTGATGGTATTTGCTGAGTTTTCCTGTACAAAGTCGCCCAACCAGGCCAGATAAGCTTTGGGGATTCCCCATCACTCAATGCAGCAAGAGGAATTCAGCTGCCAAGCTGGGTAGAGAAATGCTCATACGGACATGATATTCCTTCCAAAACCAAAGTGGAGATTTCACAGCAGTTGCAACCGCAACTAGATACGGGTACATACAGAGACTGTCACTCCACTGTCAGCAGAATTTCACTAGCTCTGAGCTTCAGAAGAGACTGTCACGGCAGTTCATCCAAGCATTAGTCTCACCTGCTCAGTTGGAAAGAGAGTATTAATGTACTCTACGGCATTGAAGTCTGCCCGGTCCAGTGGATCTTGGCTGGGAAACACCTAGAGAGAGTAAAGCGTCACACAAAATATCAGCTTGATCATCTGTAACTTTAAACAGATTTGATTATTTTAATAACTTGGACACATACTCGGGGCTGTGCTGAACAGCGGGGACTTGACAAGGCTGTGCAGTGAGCAGTCAGGCTTTGTTTAGCAGAGAGCAAGTAGTTTTACTGGCTCCCCTCCCTGGTGGTCCTGGTGCTAGTAAAATTCCTGCAGTTATCAGACTGGGTAAACACAGATGTGATATACATGCACATACCCAGACCTAGTACAAGCACAATCCATCATGTGCAGGGAATTCCTGAGTGACGGGAGCTGTTAATTACGCATTTAAAACCACGTTGATGCTTTTGCAGTTGTCTGCAAATGTTAAGTTCCCACTGTGCCCTAGCCCTCGTCTCTTGCAGGACTTTGCAGGGTGCTCTGCTGAGAGATGGAGGCTTTTCCTCTTGCAGACTTATAATACAAAATATGATTAATTAAAGTGGCCAAGTGAGCTCCCTGCCAACGGGCATTTCACGCAGACTCACAATCTGCTAAATGATCCCAGATATCTCACTAAATCCCAGTTATCTGCTAGTGATGCCTGTTTTCCCCTTGAGAAGGGGAAAACAGCAGCTGTGGTGCAAAGTACCCCATGCTCCCTCAAATGATCCAAGCAAGGGGGTTAGACTCTTTCCCCACCATCCCCATAGACTAAACCATGGGGTGCTGCCTTCTCTGTTACCATGTGTTTTCTGTATCTGTGCAGCAATCCATGCTTCCTTCCCCAATCCAAGCCGTGCCCAGCGCACACAGTAAATCACACCTGGGCAGCCAGGACTACAGGTATCAAACTGATCCTTCCAAGCTGGTTCCAGCCAGCTGCACAAAGTAAAAGAAAAATCCAAGCAAACACCAAGCTATGTATCTTGGCACTGCACAGCTAAGCGTTATGCACATTGTCCTAAAGGACAAAAGCTGTTTCCCCCGCTCCCCTCAATTGGCTATAATTTAAAGGGCCTCCCTCACAGCACTTCATTTTAGCATTGTTCCCTTGTGGATCCCAGAGCATTTCTAAACATTTACTTGCAGCACCCCTGGGAGATGGGGAGCTGAGGAACAAGGAGAGTTAAAGCGATTTTCCCTCAAGCTTGTACAGCAAACCAGAAGCAAAAGCCACAACAGAAGCCAGGTGTCCTGCCTCCCCAGGCCTGGCTACTAGGCAGCATGTGGAGATAATGTAACCCAATGGGGGCCAAGCCTTTGGGCAAGAGTGCCACAAATTTGCTTCGTACCCTCCCTGAGTGCCACCCTGCTCCCCTTCCTGACCTGCTGCTCTGCTTTCTGCTCCCTCTTCTGCGCTCCCTGCCTGATATCCTACCCTGCTTTCTACCTCCTGACCTATCTGCTGCCGTGCTGCCTGCCCCCTCCCTGGTTTGCTACATGTCATACACAGAGGCTGGCTGTGTCACCATGGCCCCTGTGCCACAGGTTGGCCAGCCCTGAGATGAAAAGATGTCAGGACAGATAATGGTCTAGCAAAACCTGTAAACTCAACTCAATTGGCGTCACACACTCACTTCAGCTGGTAGCTACATGTTCACCACAACAGAGGCTTGCAACCAGTGCAACAGAGGAAAGAAGAAGGCAGTGGCGGGAAGCAGCTAAATATCCTGAAGGTCCTGATGCAGTAGGAGAGGGGCAGTGAGCCCATCTCCACCTGCAGCAGAGCTGGGAATTAAACCAGAACTCAGGAATCGAGTTGCTGATCCCTCGTTCATGTCCAGTTTCGTCCTTCCTGTCATGCTACCCCCCACCCTAGACACAACTTCTTAATTAACGTTCCCCAGGCCTACACCCTTCACCCAGTGGAGAGTCCCTTGATGTGTGGAGTTTCCCGTCTGTAGTTAACATGCATTCAGCTATCAGGCTTGTGTAGACTCTTCAGACAGAGGCTTAATGAGTAGCTTGGCACAGTTTTCCTCTTAGGGCCATCGGACTATGGACAAAGAAGCCAGATCCCAGAAGCAAGATTTAACAATCATGTCACAATGGGGTTTAGTAGTCCAGGAACCAGTACTGGCCCACTGCCATGGGAAATGGTGCTCACTTCACAATTACACCAAACAAATGTGAACATAGAGGCAAGACCAAAGCCAATCTTGGTTAACCCAACCCAACTCCCTATTCAGAACTTAAAAGCATTTTGGAGAGAAAGGAAAGGAGAAATCTCCCCTCCCCAAAAGAAACAGAGCTATCAGTAAGCTCTAGACACTGCATTGCTAATGAAACCAGCAGAGGCGTGACAAAGCCTGAAGTTGTCAAACTTTTAAGACCTAAACAATAAAAATGCAATTAGCTGCATTGCTAACACTAGAGCATGTTACAGACAATGAAAGAATGGTCAAAACCTAGCTCTGCTTCCCGCTACCCACATGGTATCACCCACATGGTATCACATTCAGTTTGGAGGATGAGGCCCAGTTTGCTTACAGCCAGCTCTCTCCTGTCCCTGCTCCCGCTGTGGGTTGAATTTCCAATACTGAAGCAAAATATGTTTTAATACAACCATTTTTGTTTCTTTTGTCTATTTGTACAAACCATCTGCCATTATCTCGGGCCTCGTTTATGTGACATTTAAATACGAGTCCCAGTTTAAGTCAATTGCCTCCCTTTAACTCAGTCTTTGCAGGCACTTTGATACTGTAAGACACATATCATTGACCAAAAGAAAAAGGCACAATGTGGCTGGAGCTGGAAGCTGAAGCTAGAAAAATTCAAGTGGAAACAAGGCATGAATTTTTAACAGCAAGCTAAAATCCGGTGGAAACCTTCCCAAGGGATATGGTGAATTCTTCATCTCCCACAGCCAGAGTCAAGACTGGGTATCTCACCAAAAGATATGCAATAGCTCAAACCGAGGTTATAGATTTGACACAAGCTACTGGGTAAGATTCTTTCACCTGCATTATGCAAGAGGTCAGACCAGATGACTAAAATGGTCCCTTTTGGGCTTAAACATATCAAATGCAAGATATTGTTATTATGGCCAAGTGCCAGCTCTGTTTTTAACAGAGCCAGGCTCACTGTTCTCAATGAAAACAGTTCAGCATCAAACAGATGCAAATACCCCAAAACAGCAGGGATGTGCCTCTGGAAAAGGAAGCACGGACTGTACTAAATCCCTGACGCCTACAAGAAAGGTGACAAAAATGCCGCTACCCGACTGGTGCTCTGCCCCCTGGCAGCAACAAGCCAGCTTCCCTCAGCTACTTTGGCTCCTTCAAGGAGAATCCACAACCCCTCTCAGGTGCGGCTCATAAGTCGGTGCTCAAGAGCGGCGTGGCGCTGCAAGACAGCTCCTATTTCTCGCAGGTAGCTGACACCAGGAGCTAAGTTGACATCAACGTGATTCCCACCACCGGTTTCAAGGCTGGGATTTTATACGTGGTCATCAGTGCCTGTGGCACCTTCTTGGGAGCACTGAGGATCAGGAAGACATGTAGCTTCGCAGGACAGAGACAGACCAAACTCCTTCCTGTATGTCTCAGGCCATTAAGCTTCACTCTGATTCTCCTCCCTTGAACTTAAAGACTTCATTAGACCACATCATTTCAGTCCTTGGGAGACTAAATAGAGGGCCAGAGAGAGAAAACAGGAGAGATCACAATCACCTGGTTTCCAAGGAGCTGTCACCAGCAGGGAGCAAGCTGCACGAGACTTAACCTGGCAGTAAACCAGGCTGCCTGCTGCAAAGCAAGGCAAAATACCCGCCAGGGTCCCCAATGTGATCTAGAGCCGCCAGCCTGCCCCTGCGCACTGGGAACCTACCGATTCCTCCCAAAGCCACACTGAGCCTGCCCCAATCTCCACTTCAGGAAGAGGTGTCTGATGGCCCAAGGCACCGTGTCCCATTCCCCTCCCGCTGGGAAACCCCATCGTAGTCCGGCTTTCCAGCCCCACAGCCTGTTGGATCCCTACGAGGGGCAGGGGAGCTCCTCCCCGCCAGGCGGCTGCATGCACAGCTCCCAGAGCACGAGGCCGCGTCCCCGAGCGCGTGGGGGGAGCCAGCTCCGACCTGCGGCCCTGGGATGGCTAGGCCTCTTCTCTGTCCGAGGGCATTGCAGGGCCCTCCACTGACCTCTGGAGGTGCCCCCACCACCACCCACCGAAGCAGGCGCAGTGCCCCAGCTCCCCGCGGCGCCACCCTCAAGCCCCCGCCCCTTCTCCTGGGAGGGGCGCTGTGCGGGCCCTCTGCCCCCCAGCCCTGCCTCTGCCAGCAGGCACCACACAGCCTCCAGCCCTTCCCACAATGCACTGCACCACCCCCTAACCACCACAGGGGTGCTCTCCCCCAGCCCTTCCCAGGGTGCACTGCACCGCCCCCAACTGCCACAGGAGTGCCCCTCCCCCCAGCCCTTTCCAGGGTGCAGTGCACCGCCCCCCAAACCGCCACAGGGGGGCTCTCCCCCAGCCCTTCCCAGGGTGCAGTGCACCGCCCCCCAAACCGCCACAGGGGTGCTCTCCCCCCAGCCCTTCCCAGGGTGCACTGCATCACCCCCCCGGCCGCACCTGCTCGATAGCCAGCTGCACGTCGGGCGCCAGCTGCAGCACGTCCTCTAGCCCGTCCGCGAACTCCAGCTCGTCTTCCTCCATCCCGGCCTGCCCCAGCCTCCGCTTCCGGGAAGCGCGGCATGCCGGGATGCGGGAGGACTCCGCCTGCCCCTTCCCTCAAGCTGGGGGCAGCACTGGGCTTCGGGACGCGCGCGCCCCCCCCGGCGGATAGTGTGTAGCGCTCACCCCCCCCCCCCCCCGGGGGCTCGATTAGACGCCCCACGCCGCCCCGCCCCCCCCACACCCACCCA